GAAACCAAAACTCTCATCCCTCTATAATTTATTTGAGGGTTCAGAATGAGATGGATAATTCAGTTTTATTGAGTTTTTTCCTCCATAAATACTTCACCAGAAAATATGATTTGGCTTTGTCTTCTCCCAAAATCTCATCTTGAATTGTAATCCCCACATGTCAAGGGTGGGACCAGATGAAGGTAATCCAGTCATGGTTCCCCAGCTATTCCCATGATAATGAGTGAGTCTCATAGGATCTGATGGTTTTATTAGCTTCTGGCATTTCCCCTGCTTGCACATCTCCTTCCTGCTGCCTTGTGAAGAAGGTGTCTTGCTTCCCCTTCACCTTCTGCCATGATTATACATATACATTTTCTGAGGCCTCCTCAGCTATGCTGAACTGAGTCAATTAAATCTCTTTCCTTTATAAATTAGCCAGTCTCAGGTATGTCTTTATTAGCAGCGTTGAGAATGGACGAATCCACCAGATTTTCCTTTTTTTTTTTTTTGAGACAGAGTTTCGTTCTTGTTACCCAGGCTGGAGTGCAATGACATGATCTCGGCTCACCGCAACCTCCGCCTCCTGGGTTCAGGCAATTCTCCTGCCTCAGCCTCCTGAGTAGCTGGGATTACAGGCACGCGCCACCATGCCCAGCTAATTTTTTGTATTTTTAGTAGAGACGGGGTTTCACCATGTTGACCAGGATGGTCTCGATCTCCTGACCTCGTGATCCATCTGCCTTGGCCTCCCAAAGTGCTGGGATTACAGGCTTGAGCCACTGCACCCAGCCCAGATTTTCCTAATGTCATTTTTTCTGCATAGATTTAAGATATATATATATATATATATATATATATATATTTTTTTTTTTTTTTTTTTTTTTTTTGAGACAAAGTCTTGCTCTGTCGCCCAGGCTGGAAGGCTAGAGTGCAATGGTGTGATCTTGGCTCACTGCAACCTCTGCCTCCTGAGTTCAAGCAATTCTCCTGCCTTAGCCTCCCGAGTAGCTGGGATTATATGTGATTCTCCTGCCTCAACCTACCAAGTAGCTGGGATTACAGGTGTGCACCACGATACCTGGCTAATTTTTGTATTTTTAGTAGGGACAGGGTTTCACCAAGTTGTCCAGGCTGGTCTCGAACTCCTCACCTCAAGTTATCTGCCCGTCTCAGCCTCCCAAGTGCTAGGATTACAAGTGTGAGCCACCACACCTGGCTGATTTAAGGTATTTTTACTGTAACCAGCCAGTGGGTTCTTTCTGCCCACTGCACAGTCAAAAGAAATTTACTGAGACCACGACATTGCAATAAAGAGTTTAACTGATACAAGTCTGAGAGATGAAGTTATTACTCAAATCAGTCTCCCTGAAAATCTGGAGGGTAGGGTTTTTCAAGGATAGTTTGGTGGGCCATGGATTCAGCTTCTGGATGGGGCCATAGGACCAGTTGGTGGAGGTTGGCTGGTCCTGGTGGAGCCACTGGTCATCAGAAATGCAAAAATTTTAAAAAATGCCTCAAAAGGTCAATCTTAGGTTCTATAATAGTGATATTATCTGTGGGAGTAATCGGGAAGTTCCAAATCTTGTGACCCCTGGAATGATGGCCAGAAACCTTTTAGTCTACACATGAGCAGATTTCAGGCTCCTCATATCCTCCTAACCTGTTAGCCTCTCAGCTTTACAAAGGTGGTTGAGTTCTGCAGAAGGCTATTACAAGCTTGTCCAACCCGCGGCCCATGAGCTGCATGCTGCCCAGGATGGTTTTGAATGTGGCCCAATACAAATTTGTGAAGTTTCCTAAAGCGTTATGAGACTTATTGTGAATTTTTTTTGTGACTTTTTTTTTTTTTTTTTTAGCTCATCAGCTATCTTTAGTGTTAGTGTATTTTATATGTGGCCCAAGACAGTTCTTCCAGTGTGGCCCAGGAAAGCCAAAAGATTGGACACCCATGGTCTATTATTGTTTATAAAATAAAAGTCTCTCAAAGTTTGCTTGGCCCAGCCCCAGCAATGATTAAGGCCAGTTTGGAGGTTAAAGGCAGGATGGGGGGGTTGGTTAGATCAGATCTCTTTCACTATCATAATTTTCTCAGTTATAATTTTTGTAAAGGCAGTTTCATTATTAAGAAGTAACCTCTGACACTCTACTCAGAGGATTTGTTAGTTGTTACTAACTTTCATTATCATTGTCATATTTAGTTCTACGTGACTAGACCCTGATAATGGAATGACAGGTGTTTTACTGGGTCTGAAAGATAAGGAAGGAAACCCACGGTTTTCCTACTGTCTACTCTCACTTGACACAACACTTCCGACACCAGATGTGATCCCAGGCTGTTTCCCCACATACCAAGCAGTTCTGCAGTGGACACCAGCTGGGTATCCTCTAAGTCAATTCCCTTCTGACACCGTCTACCTGGAGTTACTGTCAGCTCCCACAGGTTGGGGCTTAGTCCCACAAGACTGCCCCAACTTGAGATGCCAGTTGCAAGTAGGGTGTGACCTATACATCTGACTGATGGGCCACAAAATCAGGGGTTCTCTTGACTCCATCCTGGTGTTTGATTAATTTGCTAGAGTGCGTCACAGAACTCAGGGAAACGGAATTTCCCTTATTTGTTATAAAGGATATTATAGGGGCTACAGATGAACAGCCAGATGGAAGAGATGCATAGGGGAAGGGATGTGGGAAGGTCCATGGACCTTTCATGCCTTCTCTGGACTCACTGCCATCTGGGAATCACAAAGTGTTCAGCTGTCTGGAAGCCATCTGAACCCACCCAGTCCTGTGGTGGTGGTGGTGGGGTGGTGGTGGTTGTTTTTGAGAGACAGGGTCTTGCTGTATCCCCCAGGCTGGAGTACACTGGTGCAATCTTGGCTTGCTGCAGCCCCAACCTCCTGGCCTCAAGTGATCCTCCCTCCTCAGCCACCCATAGTGCTGGGGTCACAGGGATGAGCCACCACGCCTGGCCACATTGGGGTTTTTATGGAGGTGTCATCACACAGGTATGATTATCATTGGCTCTCGGTGATCAACTCAGCCTTCATCTTCTTTCCTCTCCCAGGAGTTTTGAGGATGGAGATGAAATTCCCAACCCTCTAATACTGCCTTGGTTTTCTGGTGACCAGACTCCATCTGGAAGTTACCTAAAGGCAGCCAGCCACCAGTCATCTCATTAGCATACAAAAGACACTTTGATCATTTAAGAGGCTATTTTAAGGGTTGGAGGAGCATTTTGCTAGGAGACAGGACAAAAACCAAATATATATTTCACAATATCAAACTAGGTGATATCACTCCTGATAAAAATGAATCCAGATTGGTAAACAAACTGCATTTGGACTGGGAAGACTGAATATACTATGACTGGTTGGTTGGAAGCCATGGATTGCGGTTTTCTGAGTACATTGTCACTCAGTGATATGTAACTGGGCACATCTTTTACTGGGACCCTGGAAGCCATGCTACTGGGACCATTACAAGAGACATTGGTCTATGGAACAGGTTCGGGCTTCCAAGCAATGTCATCCTAGCACTCAGCAGTGTGGTTTTGTTTCCGGGCACCGGAGCTATCACGACGGGGGGCAGATTGGGCTAATAGCTCCTGGATTGCTCTGAGAAGCACTCTTACTGGAGAAACCTGCCTGTCACCGCCCTCTGGCACGCTGGCTTTCCTGTCTCCTCTCCTTCCGCACAGCTGGGTAAACTGGTGTCCACTGTGGCCGGTTTGGGCCTTATGTGTGCAACAAGTGGCTTGAGTTGAAGGCCACCAAAGTGAGAGCATGACAGGATGGGATCCGGAGCAGAAACGGGGGGTATTGGTCTTTGCGAGGAATTGGGGCACTTGCAGAAGTGAGTTTCTGTTTGGTGGTGACAAGGCCAAGCACGGACCCTTCCCCTTTTGCCTTGGTCAGCTGCCCAGGCCACAGACTTCTGGCTTCCTGTTGTTTGTCTGATGAAGGTTAGAATGGTTTGTCGTGATTGGTTAGCTATGTTTAGAACTGTTTGTTGTAGCTCTGTGTCTCCTGCGAAGCCTGGTCTGACAGCCCCAAGCAGAATTGACTTCCTCCTCTGTGGGCCACCCAGACCCTGTCCTACATCTGTCCCTGTCCCTGTGAGGCAGGCTTCCTCCCTTCCTCCGTTTCGTCTGTGAGTGTCTAAGTGTCGCTTTTCTCCCTCTACTAAACCGAAGCTCCTTGAGTTCAAGACGTATCATTTTGTATTAATCTTTACTTCACAGGACTTACCAGCCTGGCCTCTATTCAGTAAACATGTGTTGAATGAATGAATTTCCAGGGTGAGATATTTCTCATACCCTGTATGTTTCTCCTATAAAGTTCCAAATGATTTTAGTCATGTAGATACTCTATGTAATATACGGTGCCAAACGTCATCCTCAGCAAACTGACACAAGAACAGAAAATGAAACACCGGATATTCTCACTCATAGGCGGGTGATGAAAAATGAGAACACATGGACACAGAAAGGGGAGTACTAAACACTGGGGTCTATTGGGGGGAAAAGGGGAGGGCCAGTGGGAGGGGGAGGTGGGGAGGGATAGCCTGGGGAGAAATGCCAAATGTGGGTGAAGGGGAGAAGGAAAGAAAAGCACACTGCCATGTGTGTTCCTACGCAACTGTCTTGCATGCTCTGCTCATGTACCCCAAAACCTAAAATCCAATAAAAAATTAAAAAAAATATATATATACGGTGCCAAACCGACTAGTGACTGTCATAAGAACAATTACATGAGAAAGGCTGACATGGGTGCGGGAGCCAGACTGCGTGGATTCGAATCCCTCATTCCTGGCTGTGTGACCTGAGCTAGTTACTTAGGCTCTGTGCACCTCACGCTCTTCATCTGTCAAGTTTCTCCTAGGGTGGCAGCGAGGATCGAAATCTTTAGTACGTGTGAGGACTTCAGAGAGCACAGAGTAAGCCCTCCATGTGCGTGAGGTGCCATGTCGCAGTGCCCCAGGCTGGTCCCAGGGTGCTAAAGAGGAATGTGCCATTACAGGAATCGTTGACCTTCAAGGACGTGTTCGTGGACTTCACCCTCGAGGAGTGGCAGCAACTGGACTCTGCCCAGAAGAACCTCTACAGGGACGTCATGCTTGAGAACTACAGCCACCTGGTGTCCGTGGGTGAGGGACCGTGTTACAATGTGATGCAGAATGCCCCCAGTACTGTCTTTCTTTCTCAGCTGCTCCAGGCTCTGGGGCTGGGAACAATGAGTGTGGGTTACAAGCCTCAGTGGGTTTGGGTACAGCCCACTGTGTAGTATTCGTAGTCCCGTTTGGACGCCGGACAGCATATTGGTGCCATTGCTTGCTTTGTGAATGTTCTGTACTGAGGGGCAGATAAGCTGTATGCATGGGGCAGTCACCAAGGCCGTGCCACCTTCAGCCTGCAGGGATGGGCCTAGGTTCTGGAATTGCTCAGCATTAATAACGAAGTCCTGTGTCATTTCCCCTCAACAGGGTATCTGCTTGCCAAGCCAGATATGATCTTCAGGTTGGGACCAGGAGAAGAGTCCTGGAGGGCAGATGGAGGGACCCCGGTGCGCACCTGTGCAGGTGAGGACAGGCCAGGTGAGTCAGGCCGGGGAAAGGGGACAAGTTGGTTGGTGAGAGCTTGGCTTCTGGGATGTGCTCAGGAGCCCTTCTAAGAGCCCCGGACTTGCCAGCCCACCTAGGCTCTGATGAACGGAGCTGTTGTTGTGTGCACATGAGGCCTCTGCCTGGCAGCCAGTTACAGTCTGTGTGTTCTTTGCTTGGCGTTCACATAGGTCGTGGCCACTCTTGTTCTGAGATCCCATTTCTACCTTCCAGCCTCCTGGCTTGCTGGTGACAAGTGCCAAGCCCCTTTTCATTTTTCTCCCACCACCTTTCTGGGAGTTTTTAGGACTCTTTCTCCCTTGTTGTGCTTTTGTATTTTGACGAGAATAGATGCAAATGTTGGCATTTCCTCTTTACTGGGCATTTCAGCCCTTTCAGGCTGAAAGGGTAGAGTCTTTTTTTTTTGGCCTCAAGGAAATGATCATACATGATATTTTGGAGTTGGTATAGGCAACAAAGCTTTGCTAGTAACCTTCACTCTACCTAGCCTGGTACCCACCATGTTCTTGCCTGCTCTCATTTTGTGCTAAACACTGAAACCTCACACTGTTTTCTATTTTCTCTTCGTATTCCTTCTCAGACTCTGACAAATCTGACTTGATACCACCTGTTTTCAGATTCCTCCTCTTTTCAGCACCTTCCTCCCACTCTACTCTTATTTTTTATATTATCTCTTTATTTATTGAAAAATAAACTTGAGAGAACATTGTTCCCATGGTGGAATACTTCATAAAACACTGCTAAACTGTTTTCCAATGTGGCTACACCACTTTTTCTTCCACCAGCCATGTATGAGACTGCCACGTGTTTCTGATCCTTGCCAGCACTTGCTATTATTAGTGTTAGTCTTTTTTTCTAGGAGGTGTGTAGGGGGATCTCATTGTGATTTAATCGTGCATTTCTCTAATCATGACTATTGTTGAGCCCTTATTTGCCATCTTTATATCTTCTCTAGGAAGTATTTTTTGTAATCTTTTGCCATTTTTCTTTCCTATTAAATTGTAAGGTTTTATACACACACACACACACACACACACACACATATACACACACACTTATTTTATTTTGTTTTGAGATGGAGTCCTGCTCTGCTGTCCAGCCTGGAGTGCAGTGGTGCAATCTCGGCTCACTGCAACCTTCACCTCCTGGGTTCAATCAATTCTCCTGCCTCAGCCTCCCAAGTAGCTGGGATTACAAATGCATGCCATCATGACCAGCTAACTTTTGTATTTTTACTAGAGATGGGGTTTCACTGTGTTGGCCAGGCTGGTCTTGAACTGACCTCAAGTGATCCACCTTCCTCAGCCTCCCAGAGTGTTGGGATTATAGGCGTGAGCCACCGCGCCCAGCTGGTTCTTTATATATTCTTGATGCAAGTCTTTTAACTACGTACTCCCAGGTCGCGGCTTTTTTTCTTAACTGTGCTTTGTAGAATAGATGTTTTTAATTTTGATAAGGCCCAGTTTATCAAGTTCTTTTATGGTTCATGCTTTTTGTATCCTATCTAACAAATCTCTGACTCAGAGAATGGAGATTTTTCTCCTGTGTCTTCTTTTAGAAGATTTATAATTTTAGCTTTTAATTTTAGACCTATGACAAAGAATGAGTTAAGTTTGTAAATCTGACATGAGGTGAGGGTCAGGGTTTCTTTTTTCCATTCCACAATCACATCCCTTTTTCTTATTTTCAAGGTAGTATTAAGCGTCCATATTTCTTAAGCCACATTAAGGAAATCATGTCTTAAATTTTGGATGTTTCCTCTTCTTCATCTTATACATGAAACTCCAGCAGATTTAATACTCACATCCATCATCTAGTCAAACCTCTTACATGTTCTTCAAACCAATCAAATTTGGGCTTCTCAACATTTTCTGTGTCAATAAAAGGTGTGGAATTACGGCCGGGCGTGGTGGCTTACGCCTATAATCCCAGCACTTTGGGAGGCCGAGGCGGATGGATCACGAGGTCAAGAGATCGAGACCATCCTGATCAACAAGGTGAAACCCTGTCTCTTTCTGTGTGTAATGCTTCTTTCAGAAGCTCTTGTAAAGCAGGCCTGGTGGTAATAAAATCTCTGAGTTCTTGCTTGTTCATAAAAGATTTTATTTTTCCTTCAGTTGTGAAGTTTAGTTTGGCTGGATATGAAATTCTGGGCTGAAGGTTCTGTTCTTTGAGGATGTTGAATATTGGCCCCCACTCTCTTCTGGCTTGTAGAGTTTCTGCTGAGAGATCTGCTGTAAGTCTGATAGGCTTCCCCTTGTGGGTAACCTGACCTTTCTCTCTGGCTGCCCTTAGTATTTTCTCCTTCGTTTCAACCCTGGTGAATCTAACAATTATGTGCCTTGGGGTTGCTCTTCTTGAGGAATGTCTTTGTGGTGTTCTCTGTATTACCTGGGGTTGAATGTTGACCTGCTTTGCTAGTTTAGGAAAATTTTCCTGAATAATATCCTGAAGGGTATTTTCCATCTTGGATTCATTCTCTCCATTGCATTCAGGTACACCTATCAAACGTAAATTTGGTCTTTTCACATAGTCCCACATTTCTTGGAGACTTTGCTCATTCCTTTTTATCCTTTTTTCTCTAATCTTTTCTTCACGTTTTATTTCATTAAGTTGGACTTTGACCTCTGATATCCCTTCTTCTGCTTGAACAATTCGAGTGTTTAAACCTGTGCATACTTCTCGGAGTTCCTGCATTGTATTCTTCAGTTCCATTAATTCACTCATACTCCTCTCTAAGTTGTCTATTCTCAATAGGATTTCATCAAACCTTTTTTCAAAGTTCCTGGTTTCTTTACGTTGGCCTACAACATGTTCTTTTAACTCACCGAAGTTTGTTATTATCCATTCCTTGAAGAGTACTTCTGTCATTGGGATGTGCTCGTTCTCCATCAAGCCTTGTCCCATTGTCGATGTGGAACTGTGATCATCTTTAGAGGGAGAGGCGTTCTGACTTTGAGTATTCTCAGCTTTTTTACGCTGGTTTCTTCCCGTCATTGTAAATTTATCCTCCTGTCGTCTTTGAATTTACCAACTTTCAGATTAGGTTTCTTGAGTGGGCGTCCAGGTTGTTAGTTCCCAGGGCCAGAGCAGCGTGTTAAAACTGATGGTGCTTTTCTTCCCAGGATTCTCCTGTCAGGCTTCCTCCTTGTGTCCGTAGTAGGCGACTCTGCCTTCCCGGGGCTCCAAACCTCTGTCAGAAGGGGAACCGGTCCCGTTTACTCTGTGCCGAGCGCTGCTGCGCTGAGGTGCCATCACAGCCACTGCGCTGGGCTCTGGTGTTGTGCTGGGGGCCCTGAGCGGGTCCTCCAAATCTGTTTACTTTGCTCCGAGAGCTGCCGCCGAGGCATCAGCGGAATTGCTGCCCTGGCCACAAGAGTCGCGCTGGCGACCCGTGTGTTTCCTCCACTGGGGATCTTCTGCTCCGTGAGCGACCAGAATTTGTTTGAAAGTGTGGCGTCCTCTAGTTCTCCGTGCCTTCACTGAGAACTGCAATCCTGGGATGTTAGCGATCGGCCATCTTGGATCGTCCTCTTGTGAAATCCTGTCTCTACTAAAAATACAAAAATTAGCTGGGCATGGTGGCGCGTGCCTGTAATCCCAGCTACTTAGGAGGCTGAGGCAGGAGAATTGCCTGAACCCAGGAGGTGGAGGTTGCGGTGAGCTGAGATCATGCTATTGCACTCCAGCCTGGGTAACAAGAGCGAAACTCTGTCTAAAAAAAAAGGTGTGGAATTATTAGATTGGATGAAGACCTGTATTTTTTTGCCACATTGGACGTCACGTGCCATTTGGATTCAGTTTAGAAGATGGGGAAGTATGGATGTTTCTTGGCCTGAATCTCTTAACAGTAGAGATGTAGAAGGGAGAGTGAGACCCTGAAGAGACTGGCTGTTGACTGCAGGGCACCACCAGCTGCCTTGGTGGTGGCATTAGCTGGATTTGGGGCAGCCAAAGTACTCTGGGAGGCGTTACTTGAAACTGTTACAACAGCTGTTTGATTGGAATAAATCTGTGTGGGTAGGAGCAGTGCCAGCAGCAGCAGCAGCCCCAACCTGAGCCTGGCCACCATTGTTCTGCCCTTGTCCCCTCCGTCGGTGTGCAGCACGTCTTGCTGGATGCTGCGTGCTTGGAGAACCGCTGGCTCTGGGTGGGCACAGACAAGGTCGATGGTCAGGGTTTTTATTCATATGTATATCCAATTTTATTCAGCAGCATTTTTGAAAATACTCTTTTTTTGTTGACTTACTTTGCCATTGTTGCTGATAACTTTTGAATGGCCAGGCACAGTGGCTCACACTTGTAATCCCAGCACTTCGGGAGGCTCAGGTGGGAGGATCAGTTGAGCCTAGGAGCTTGAGACTAGCCTAGGCAACATAGTGAGCCCCTGTCTCTACAAAATATTTTTAAAATTTGCCAAGTATGATGGCATGCACTTGTAATCCGCACTACTTGGGAGGTTGAGGCAGGAGGATTGCTTGAGCATGAGAGGACGTGGCTGCAGTGAGCCATAATCATGCCAGTGCCACTCCAGCCTGGGTGACAGAAGAAAACCCTGTCTCAAAAAAAAAAACAGTTGAACAGAGATTCATCTGTCTGTACATCAGTAATACACTGTTTAATTACTGTAGCCTTATGTTAAATGTTCAAATCAGGTAGTATGAATCTTCCAACTTTGTTCTTCCTTTCCTAATGTTTTGCCTATTCTAGGTCCTTGGTATTTTTATATAAATCTTAGAATCAGCTTGTGATTTTGTACACAAAAGCCACAGAGATTTTTATATGGGATTACACTGAATCTGTAGATTATTGATATAAGACAATATTGAGTCTTCCAGTTAATGAATAGCATGTATCTCTATTTAGAGCTTCTTAAATTTTATCTCAATATTTTGTAGTTTTGAATGCACAAGTCTTTCACATTTTGTTTAATTCATCCCTGCATTTTATGTTCTTTTTTGTTTTTTTGTTTT